CATCTAATTTAATCGTACTTAGTGAAAAATACAGTACTTATATTTCATAAAATCACATTATTTTTACTCATATTTCCATAATTCTACTTTTATATTTACCCTGATCAAGAGCGGGTCAATATTGAGATGTTGGTAAATTGAATCTCACGACAACATTTTAATTTAATGTTAACATTGTCGATCGTACTATAATATGAGCCCGTTTGATAACACTAAAATTGGCTGAATTGGCTGATTTTGCTGAAATTTATGAAGTTTTGGCTGAAGTGGCTGCATTGGCTGATTCTGCTGATTCGTGAAAAAAAATTAAATATTTGTTATTAATAAATTAAATAAAAAGTTATATGAAAAATAGCTAAAATGATCCTATACAGTAACTTCATTCAATACAACCAGAAAAATAACACCAACCTTACTTTTTCTGCTTATTACAAAATTCAGCGCGCGAAATCAAAAGCTATGTGTTTGGTAAAAAAGCTGACTGATAAACCTGATAAGCCGAAAGAAAGGATTACCAAACGGGCTCTATGACTTGATATAATTGCTTCAAGTTCAATATAATTAAGGTGGCTACTATGGTACCTCACAAATAAATGATGATACGGTACTTACGATACATTTTATTCGTTCAACTTGTTATCTTATCATTTATTAATATTTTAATGATCCAATTACAATATTCAAATAGACCTATATATAATAAGGCACATACAAGAATAAATTCCACTTTTGGTCTTACGAGTTTTTAGGTCAATTCCACATTTAGTCCACACATTTCACTTTGTCCACGTTTGGTACATGACTATTGTGTTTTTGCTCATATATGGTCCTTCCGGCATTGTTTCTGTGCTTAAAATCGCCGGAAAAGGACCACAAACGGTTAAAAAACATTAGTCAATTACCAAAAGTGGATAAAGTGAAAGGCATGGACTAAAGTAGGAATTGGCACAGAACTCGTAGGATCAAAAGTGGAATTAATTCTACATATGGAGTACAATATCCAAAAAGTACCGTAGAATTTGCATATGATTAACCATGAGACAAACTTAATTCAAAAGAATTAATTTCAATTTTGATCCTATGAGTTATATGTCAATTCCAAATTTAATCCATCTTCACGTTATCCACTTTTGGTACTTGACTAATGTTATTTAACCATTTGTAGTCCTTTTCTAGCAATTTTAACAACCAAAAACATTGTCGGAAGGACCATATATGGGCGAAAACACAATAGTCATCATGTACCAAAAGTAATTAAAGTGAAAGATATGGACTAAATGTAAAATTGACTTAAAACTAGTAGGATCAAAAGTGGAATTTATTCTAATTCAAAACTAAAAGGAATGAAAACAAAGTGGTCATACGAGGAGAATTGCTCATTTCGTGTCACTAAATACAGAGGCGGATCCAAGAGTCAAGATTGAACTGAGCAAAAGAGTAATTATACTCTTCCTAAATATTAGCAGGAGAGTTAAATATGAAAAGGGGAAAAATATCAAATAAGCCCCTCTATTTTTGAAAAAAATCAATTAAGCCCTCTAACTCAACTATCAACCAATCAAACCCCTCTACTATAAAAAGAAACATGCAATTCAGCTGTTTTGGCGGTAAAGAGTTGGTGATTCCGGTAATGCTGACATGTCACCCATTTATCTTTATTTTTTATGCAAAATATCAGCGGCACTCCAGACGCTTGTGTTCGTCCTCCATGATTGGCAAAACAATGAATAAAAAATGCCCATCTGGGGCCGTCGGCCATGACCACAACATGAATCAAGCTCCATCACTTCCGTGGGAAATACCGATGACGCGAAAGAGGAGGCCTCCAACATGTGAGTTTCAGTGTTCTCATACTATTCCATGGCCGTCGTTCGTACCCGAACCTTCATACCTCCATTAATGGATTCACCATCTCACCAATTGATCGTCCCCCTACTTTGAAATTACCCCTTCCTTCTTCATTCATCTTCTAGTAGTGCAAGGTGCCTCATACATCCTGATCTGGAGTGCAAGGATCATTCTCGAATATTTTTAATGAATGATTTGTGTACACATGTAGCTAGAAAGCATGTACAAAAATGTATACAAATGACATCTCCAAACAAATGTTTCATTTTTTGAGCAGTCAAATTTTGAACAATCATTGTATACGGAATTACTTATAGTTAAAAATGATATGTAGTACATAAGTACTCACTATTACAAATACTTTCGTAGAAGTAGTAATTACTTTTAACTACATACATCCAAATATTTGTTGTAAAAAAAACTACACCCAAATATTCAACGAATAATTATGGAGTATATTTAATTTTTAAACTTAAACTAATTTTACCTTATCTCATTTAGAATCACTTACATACTCATCAATTTTAATTTCTTATAATGTTATACTACATCCCTTCTCAAATAGATGCAATTATTTGAGAAAAGTTATTGTATGGGGTATATGTTTAACTCTTATTTTTGAAATTTTCTCAAAATTTATCTACAATTACATCTTCTCACATATGTATTATAGATTTTGGTGATTTACCTACCTTACCTGGTTAAAAAAAGTTATAACTTAATGTTTAAATCTAGTCACACAATGTTAACAATGTGATATGCTATTAGGGAAAATTTATCAGGTGTTCACCCCCATCTTTCCAAGCTGCCTCCTATATGAAATCGAAGGCCCATAGTTAGGGAAAGTTAATATTACTATTTCATGCTCCCAAGCAGATCTGATAGGATTGGTAGGGAGGAATTTGAGAAATTTTAGAAGATGAATGAAGAAGGAAGAGGGGGACGATCGATTGAAATAAAAAATGCAGAAAGGGTCAACTTTGACCGGGAGAAAAAAAAAATTGAAGCCCACGATCCACGTGTATGACGTATATAAGCTAAAGAGATACCGATTACCTGAAACCGGGAGGTTACCTATTAAAAAGCCTATTTGACAATTTTATATGAGTATAGGGGTTTGATTGAGTGATAGTTGAGTTGGAGGATTTAGAGCCCGTTTGGTAACATTAAAATTGGCTGATTCTGCTAAAATTTATGAAGTTCTGTCTGAAGTGGCTGTATTGGCTGATTCTGTTGATTCATGAAAAAATTATATTTAAAATATTTGTTATTAATAAATAAAATAAAATAAAAAATTATATGAAAAATAGCTAAAATGATCATCTACAGTATCTTCAGCCAATACACAGGGCCGGCTTTTGGGGGAGTTAGCCTAGACAAATGTCTAGGGCCTCCAAATAATATGGGGCCTCCAATTTTTAAAAAATCAATAGTATATACATTTATTTAATTAGTATTAGAATTCTACAAATAGGATGGGTTGCACAGCACTACGAAAACACGAGAGTGAGGAGCATGCATTTTTAATACGGAAGTATTTTACATTTTCTAAGCTAAGAAGTATTTTACGCATTAATTACATTATGAGCCCGTTTGGTAGCATCAAAATCGGCTGTTTTGGCTGATTCTGCTGAAATTTATGATATTCTGGCTGGAGTGGTTGTTTTGGCTGATTCTGCTGATTTAAGAAAAAAATATTTTAAAAATATATTTTATTAATAAATTAAAGAAAAAATTATATGTAAAAATAGCTGGCTGAAAAGTCACTTCAACCTTACTTTTTCGGCTTATTACACAATTCAGCGCGCGAAAGTAAAAGTTACGTGTTTGGTGAAAAAGCTGGCTGATAAGCTTGATAAGCCGAAAACAGAGTTCTCCATTTGGAATGTTTCTTTACCGTTTTTAGATTTGTTTTCAGTATTTTGGTTTTTAAAGTTCATAGTATATTACAACTTATAAAATTGTTGATTTATTCATTTAAGTTTTAAGATATAAAAAATACTAGTATTATTTTTATTCCTTTAGGTGTTTGCTTGTTACGTTTCACAAATCACAATTGTTTTGTTTGTTCATTTTGAATTTGAGCCTTTTAATCTCAAAAGGTTTCATATTTTTTTACTTAATTATGCTATAAAAAGTGTAAAACCGTATATTTGGGATTCATGATTGTTCGGTGATTTTGTATAGGAAGTTAAAACTAAGCTGGTTGGAAAATTACTCTGTAATATATTTGTTGATTTCTGATAAAGAAAAACATTAAAACTATGACTTTCTAAGATAGAAAAATAAGTTGATTTAAATAATTACATTTCTATATAATTATAGGTTTGAGCTTAGATTTTCTTTTTCTAACTATTTCTTGAAAGGAATTACAAAATAAAGTTCGTCAGATTATATCTGATCAACCATGGCCAAAGATAGACTAGCTAACTGGGTTGACTATATTATTGATGAAGAAAAAATGTGTATTTTTGGTGCATTTTGGGCTAATTGGCTTCTATTTGTTTCATGTAATACTCTTTATATTATATTAAGGAAACAAGAAAAGGAAAATGCACGCTAATAAATTCCCAAAGTTAAATATTACTCGTATTTGATTGTATGTCTAGGGCCTCAAAGTTGTTCTAGACGGCCCTGCCAATACAGCCAGAAAAGTAACTCCAACCTTACTTTTTCTGCTTATTACACTATTCAACGCGCGAAATCAAAAATTACGTACTTGATGGAAAAGCTGACTGATAAGCTTGATAAGCCGGAAAAAGGGGTCACTAAACGTAACGGGCTCTTAATTGATTTTTTTCTAAAAGTACGGGACTTAATGGATAGTTTTCCCTGTGAAAAATGAAAACAACTAAACATTTGGAAAAAGTAATTTACTTTGTAAATCTTGATTAAACATTTTGCGTGAGATCAACGGTGGGTATGAGTTTCTGTGGTAATATAGAGTTTGGAAGTTCTTTTGGTACAGTGGGGTAAACATCGACCATGAATTCGAGCATTTGATTTGACGTATGATTAAGGGATATATTCTCTCATCAATAATAATTCAATGTATATGACTATACTACACACAAAATTGCGTGTGTATATATTCCGAAGCATATACTAGTAGTTTTATACTCCGTATGACCGTATTTATTTATGGGAAAAAACAAAAAACAAAATGTAAACCGATGGAAAGGTACTGAAATAACAAAAATGCTATGGGTACCTCAAGTATACCCCATTTCATACCCCATATAAAAACTCCCATTTTTACCATCTTTTTTTACCCCCTTTTCTCTCACATCTCTCCTACTCCACCCAATCTCTTCTTTTCTGCCAAAGACACTCCCCCTCCTTCGTGGAGTTCGATTCTGCTACAGTACTCAGGCCAAACTCCACAAACCTTCCTCCTTCATCTTCTTGGATGGATATCATGGGGACTGAGGTGCATTTGGACGAGTTGAGTGGGGAAGAAGTTCAAATGAATGGTTTGACATGGGGAGATGACGTGGGTGGCGGTGGTAATCCTCCAGCTCCGGTGGGTGTTGAAGTGAATGCGACTTCAAGGGAAGAAGATGAAGAAGGTGTGGAAGTTGAATCTTTGGAGAAGGGTATGTTGTTTTTTCCTCATTTTTGGTATTTGGTTGGTCAGACAGACAACTCGCAATTGCAGCGTCTGTCTAGCCTAAACTCACCGTGGTTTCATACTTGTTTTCAACTGAACATGGTTTCGTAGTTGGTAGAGTGGTACATAAAATGTGTGTGCGGCCAGACAACTTAAAATGTTTGTCTCAGTAGAGGAAATGTCTGTATTCGCATGAGGAAAAATGTATATGACTATGTATAAGCATGTATGTATTCTACTGCACGTTTGATTATTTTACTTGAGTAAGTATTTTAACTGTGTGTGGTTTTGTTTGAAAACATGGTTGTATTTTGTAATGTGAAGTAAAATGAGGTTAATTAATTATACATATACATATATATATATATATATAACAATAATATATACTAATATATTATTGTAATTGTGTAAAAGTGATGCAGTGAATATGTATAGTTCTATTATGGTAATTCTGTTTATAAGTGATGCATTTTATTAAGTGTGTGTTTAAGTGAACATGTATACTTTGATTAAATAACAGATGAAGACGAAGAAGAGATTTGTAATAAAGTTCCCTTTGTTGGCATGGAGTTCCCAAGTAAAGATGCAGTGTGTGATTTCTACAAGGAATACGGGAGAAGAGTAGGGTTTCCTGTTAGAATACGAAATTCAAGGAAAGACGCAGAAGGAAGCACAATTGCAATTGCATTAGAGTGCGGGCGTGCGGGAAATAGACAAAGTCGGACACAAAATGTTTTGAAACCTCAACCTTCAATGCAATTTGGTTGCTTGGCAAAAATAAGAGCACGTATAAATTATGAAGGGGCATGGGTCATTTCAATGTGTTGTTTAGATCATAACCATCCCATGAGTCCAACGAAGGCTAGACTATTTCGGTGTTATAGGAGGTTGACACCAAAAGCTATGAAGCAAATTGCAATCAATGATGTCGCGGGTATACGACTTAATAAGAGTTTCCACTCACAAGTCGTAGAAGCGGGTGGATATGATCAACTTCCATTCATTGAAAAGGATTGTCGGAACTATATAGATAAGGTGCGTCAACTTAGGTTGGGGGTTGGTGATGCGGTGGCATTGCAAGATTTTTTTTTAAAAATGCAAGCACAATGCTCCGGGTTCTTCTTTATGCTTGATTTGGATGAAGAGTCACGGTTACGGAATGTATTTTGGGCGGACAATCGATGTCGATATGCTTACAAAGATTTTGGTGATGTCATTACTTTTGACACAACATATCTTACCAATCGTTATGACATGCCTTTCGCGCCATTTGTAGGAGTGAATCACCACGGGCAATCAATCTTGCTTGGTTGTGGCCTCATCTCGAGTGAAGATACAGAAACGTTTGTGTGGCTTTTTAGAGCTTGGCTTGAGTGTATGGACGGTTGTGCCCCTCACGGAATTATTACCGACCAAGATCGTGCTATGCAAAATGCCATCCAAATAGTCTTTCCTAAAACACGACACCGATGGTGTTTATGGCACATAATGAAGAAGCTACCGGAGAAGTTGGGAGGGTATACCCATAAAGATGAAATTATGGCCGGTATACATGATGCAGTATATGACTCTCAATTCCCTGTTGATTTTGAAGTTGGTTGGAATTCTCATTTGGAAAGGTGGTAGACAATTGTGTATTAATATTGAATGACTTGCCAGACAACATTTGCCTGGCCCAGACATTAGTACTCTGGGACGTAAACCTTGTGTATGCCATAGTCACAGACAAAATATGTTTGGAATAGACATTTTGTTTATGGGGCATTGTGGTTGTTTCTGCAACACGTACAGACAAAATTTGTCTGTGTCAGACATAAGTAGTCTGGGAGATAATGCGTGTATGTCAAACTGACAGACAAAATTTGTCTGTGCCAGACATTAGTAGTCTGGGACATATTGGTTGTGTATGTCCAACTGACAGACAAAATTTGTCTGTGCCAGACATTAGTAGTCTGGGAGATAATGCTTGTGTATGTCAAACTGACAGACAAAATTTGTCTGTGCCAGACATTAGTAGTCTGGGACATATTGGTTGTGTATGTCCAACTGACAGACAAAATTTGTCTGTGCCAGACATTAGTAGTCTGGGAGATAATGCTTGTGTATGTCAAACTGACAGACAAAATTTGTCTGTGCCAGACATTAGTAGTCTGGGAGATAATGGTTGTGTATGTCAAACTGACAGACAAAATTTGTCTGTACGTGTCATTAGTAGTCTGGGAGATAATGCTTGTGTATGTCAAACTGACAGACAAAATTTGTCTGTGGCAGACAAATTTGTTGTAACTAATGTCTTGTGTATTCATTATAGGTATTCACTTCAAGATGATGAATGACTTAAGGTCATGTTTGAAGAACCCCAAAGGTGGGTACCTTATTACTTGAAACCTACATTCTGGGCAGGTATGTCCACAACTCAGCGTAGTGAGAGCATTAACGCTTTTTTCGACCTTTTTGTGCACTCTAAAACAAGTCTAAAACAATTCGTGGAGCAATACAGTCGTGCCTTAAAATTTAAGGCTGAAAAAGAGTGTCAAGCGGACGCAGAGTCTTTTTCAAAATTGCTACCGTGTGTTTCGAAATTTGCTATGGAGAAACAAATGCAAGGAATCTACACAATGGTGAAGTTCAAGGAGTTTCGAGATGAAGTGATTGGCAAGCTTTATTGTGACATAATTCAATGCGATGGCGGTAAAATTTATCATGTCAAAGAAGAAGTAAAAATAACAGAGGACTTTTACAAGACTGTTTACTTCATAGTGGAATATGATTCCGGCTTGTGTGCATGCAAATGTAGTTGTCATTTGTTTGAATTTAGAGGCATTGTGTGTAGACATATGTTTATGGTTCTACAGCGCAACGATGTTAAAATATTGCCCGAGGTGTACATCATGCGCAGATGGAGGCAAGATGTAAAGCGCTCTTACACACGAGTGAAAATAAACTATGATGGGTGGATCACAACAGTTGAACAACAACGATATGACAAGTTGTGTAAGACTTTTGAAGATCTTGCAAATGCCATTGCCGATGATGAGGAAAAGTATAAAAGCGTTATGCAATGGATGCAAGACCAATTGCATGAGTGTACCGGGTCAACTACAACTTATTCCGTTTGTGGTGTCATGACACAACTTCCACAATTACATACAAATGGGCATGGGGAGGCAACGGGTCCAATTCAAGACCCGAAGATCACAAAAAGGAAGGGTGCACCAAGGAAAACCCGCATAAAGGGTCCTCTTGAAAAATCAAAGAAGAAACAGAAGGTTTAATGCAATTACATATACATTTTATTACACTGTTTCAGGTTTGGACTTTTAATTTATTAACTATAGGTTTTAATGAATAATTTGACTAATGTTATTTTCCTTTTTTTCAGGCCGATCCAAAACAAAAAAAAAACAAGGAAGAACCCTAGTGGAATGCACACAACTGAAGGCTCAAATGAAATTTATGATTTGACTATATTAACGCCCTGTGTGAATGATAAGGGGTTGGATTTGAACCTACGCTTATTGTGAACTTGTAGTAGGAATTTTCAATTACTTGTCATTGAAACTTATGTATTAATGTGTAACAATTTGGAATGTACAATTACTTGTGCTATTGAACATTATGTTTTTGTGTGATATCAGTATATTTCGGTGAGCGAGACACACAAAATGTATACCTTCTTAGACAATTTCAATCAGGGAGACATATAAATTGCATATGCTGACAGACATATATAAAACTTCACAAAACAACATAATAGGTTTAATTTAACACAATAGGTTTAATTACAACATGTAACATTCGAAGGTTTTACATCCATAATGTTTGCAACAGCAATAACAACCTAAAAAAATAGCTTTCCCACATTAAATAGGCATTCCAGAATTCCTATGATTTGTCCACATTCTTCACTCCCCACAAACGTACAGCATATTGACATCGCTTATTCCACATGTTGGAATACTCACAACCTGGAACCAAGGGCTTTCCCAATAAAAGGTGTTCTGCATATGATGCAACCATGACTCCACATTCTCCTGAGCTGTAGACAGGCAAGTAGAAGATAGACAGACAATTAGGCCATGGAGATAGACAATTTACAAATTGTAATTAAGGTAGAATTAAATACCCTGGCCCCTGTTGGGGAACACCCTCAACTAAGTCAGCAACCCATGGTTGCACTTCCTTCTCTAGAGGGGACATCGTAAATAAGCTATGGAGGTATGGCAGCCGATCACATAATTCCCTTACATGAAAAACACTTCTACCGCTCTTCAACGAATCATATACTCGAACCAACTTCTTTTGCAACACAACTTCTGCCAAGATCCAATGCTTGTTCTGTATGTTTAAAGGAAGTAAGACCTGCCAGAAAAAAACATACCACAACATAAAAACCTATAAAGGTGTGCACAGAAACATATTGGTTTTCTTAAAACTAAATATTACCCTTTCAAATGATCGCCAATCTTGTTTGGTCAAACATTTGTCTGCAGCCCAATTTTTCACCTCGCCAATTTCCTTCGTCATGATAGTATGCTACAAAAGGTTTATATATGTATTGGTGTCCGGTTTTTCAAGATAAACTACATAATATTTGTATGTAGCACAATTTATATTACAATTTGAACCTGTAATATTTTATACGTACCACAAGATATGGGCTCAAAATGGTACAATTGGCTGCAACCTTGTCTCTATTTAGCAAGAAGGTGATGGCATCAAGATGCTAAAAAAAATGTCATGTACATCACAACGCACAATATATCAACATAAGAAGGTGAGAGCATGAACTTACGTAGGTGGCCAACCAAATATTACATGTGAGCAAGTCTTGGAAAAATCCTCTGTTCACTTCGAATTCATCAGGGATCATTAGAACAACACTCAAAGGAGGATGCTGGTCATCATCCTCAATCCAATCCTTAAGTTCATTCCATTCCTCAAGGGATTCATTGATGAAGATTGGGTTGATGGTGTGACTCGGTTCAGCAATGGTTTTCAACCGCTTTCCTTTTGGCGCTGTATAAGGGCTGACCCTGTACTTGGATGGGAATTTTAGTCGTTTACCAAGTATTTCCATCGACATTTGTTCTGGTGCTGGAGTTTTAATGGGAGCACTTTGCAAATCTGCCACAACCTCATCCTAATAAGAATCATCAATTGGTCCTGATGATGCCAACTCAGAATCAACCACCTAAATGAAATTCATGATAAGCAAGACAGTGTCAAAATGTTTGTAGCCAGACATTTTAATACATAAGACAGACATATTGACTTACTTCAAGAAGAGCGGGTGATATGATCTGCTTAGAAGTTGTACCAATATCTAACTCCCTGACTGTATTTGAATCGTCCATTGGTCCAGATGGTTCAGTCAAAACATCAGTCACCTACATTAAAAATCTGTCATTAGCAAGACAGTGTGAAAATGTCTGTAGACAGACATGTTTATGTATATGTAACACCCCCAATTTCCCACCCGAAACATTGATTTAATTGAAATAAAACTTTTATTTATTGAAAATTTGAAGAGTATAGCGGAAGTCTTAATAAGGGAAACGGGTGTCACCGCCACATCCGGTCATCTCTCAACCGGATGCACAGGCAACTAAAGTATAACAACTTTAACTCAATAAAAATAAAGTGTTTGTAAAGTAAATATTCATTTCATGACTAGTATGACTAAGGCAACTTCTAATTCGCTCTCAGGCCACGCAAGCAATCATCAATCAACAAGAACATCCTCACCTGCACGAATAAAGTGCAGAAACAAAACAAGGAAAAGAAAACAAAAGTTAGCTTTAGAGCTAAGTAAGTACTACCCAACCCCGTAAAATAATCATGTTTGACTAAAATAGATTTTTATATATAATATATAAAAATACTCACGCCATCGAAATTCTTTTCACTTGATTTTTCTTAAAGCCACTTCTTTACTAAAATTCTCAACTTTTCTTTAAAATTTCATAATAACTCTTCTCTTTGATTTCCTCAAAAATCACTTCTTCTCTAACTTCCTAGTAATTTAGAAGGGCGGTGCTCAACCTTTCGGAGAGCCCGGTGGACCGTGGTTATGGACGGCCACCCCGAACAAATGCCGGTACCACAACTGCTCTATTGGAAACGAAACGACTACCTTAAGTGTGCACACCCCCTAAAAGGGATTCCAAGCCCTCCGAGTAGTAAGTCGTAACGAGTAGTCGGGACTCAGTCTACCAACTACCCCTGAAAAATATCTTGAATGATTAGGGACTACTACTACCATAACTTCTTCTTAAAAAGGATCATCGATCCAAATATCACTTTAAACTCAAACTATACTTCTTCGTAGTAGCAGACCTAATCACCCTCCACATTTATCCGGACGTGGAAAACCGACACCGCGGATTTCTCCCGTGGCGCTCACTTCTTATGAAATCATTCTTTTATCTTGAATTAACATACATCAAAAAATATTCCTCAACTTCTCAAATTGCCTCAAAAATATTTAAATAAAATATGTAATTCCCAGAAGCACTTAGTTTCACTTCTCAAATATCACAACTCAAATAATCTCAAAATCACATGCATAAAAATCATAATTCACACTTAAAATCACGTATCACATAATACATATATAATACGAGGAAACAATTTTGGATTGGCAGAGAAACTTACCTCTAGTCCGGATGCTCCTAATTCCCTTCTTCAACTTCGTTCTCTAACTATTCACCTTTTTAATTAAGATATATAATTAGTCACTTATTCTTTAATAATTATTTACCCGATTTTCACCCTTTTATTTTATTCTTCGAATTCATTAATTTACTTATGTTATTATTCGAGTTAATCAATTTTTATTACTTAAATTACCTAATTAATTCAGCCGTTAATTATAATATTTGAATTCTAAAAAAAAAAAAAAAAAATACGAATATAATTAACTACAATATCAGATTTTTAGTTTAATAATCATCATTTAATTTTCTTACTTATAAAACGTCCAATCAACTATGTTTTATTAAAACATATTCGTGTTTCGAATAATTAAACTATTCCAATTTCACTATTAATATCAATCCACATTTTTAATAACTCAACAAACTAATCAAATAACGAAACTACATTAATTTTTATAAATCAACATTAATAAATCCGAATTAACTAATTGTTTATAACATATTCTGATTTTATTAATTATTCAAACACTTAGTATTTCTAAGTCCGTAATTATGTAAATTTTACATTACTCTCCTCAATTAGTCCAATAATTAGTGAAAATAATATTTATCCAACTTTAATTAATCTACTCGTGTTACTAAGTCCAAATAATTACTACTTTGATATGATTTTCGTTTATTAGGCTTTTGTAAACCATCAATTTCTTTTTATTATATAACATCATGTAGTTATGTTAATTAACAATTAGCAAGTTTAGTCAAGTGATTACTATTAATTAATCAAGCCAATTTCCTCATTAATATTAAGAATTCCTTATTTAATTACTTAACTAGTTTTATATGGCCCAATTAAATTATATAGACTTCAAAATCGACTTTATAAATTAATAACCGTCCATAATTATATTTTGGGTCTATATTTGACCTAGGTTGTCCAGATATTTATTTTATAATTATTTTCCTTAATTTTTCGTTTATTTTCGTATATCCAATAACCGGTCCATTTACATTTAAATATACTAATATTAATTTTTATTAATTATAAATGGTCCATAATGTCTTAGTTAGTCATATATTTATCCAGGTTCACTCCCATATTTATTTCATAATTATTTTCGCCATTTAGTTAATTATTCCTTAAATGTGTACAAATTGGCCCAATTACAATTAAATCAATTAAAAATAGCTAAAAATATTATTTTTCAATTCTGGTTGGTCCGAATATGTATAATCATACTAGGTATTTAATTTATATTTTTCCAGATTTTATTTATTTCATTTACTATTTTATTTCTAATTTTTATTGCAACTGGGCCGAACTGGCCCAAAAAAAAGCCCAGCAACTGGCGGCCCAAAAGACAGACCCCAGGTTGGTCGTCTTCTTCAACGCAAAACGCAGGTCGCCGGAAAAAAAAACAGGGGAGAACGGGAAAAAACGCAGGTCGGGCTTACCTCGACGAAACGGCCAACGGCGGTAGCGGTGCACTCCTCCAGGGACGGCGCAGGTCGGTGAAGGGTTGGCGGCGGTGATGGCGGCTTCTGCTTCTCTGTTTTTCGTCGGGAAAGTTTCCCCGGCGAAACTCCGGCGAGCAATATCTCCCTCGTTTCTCGACCGTTTCCAACGATTCTTTCACCGTTGGATTCCTCTCGCTAAGGGGAAGGTTTGTGAGTGGTTTTGGCTTCGAATAAGGGGTTGTAGCGATGGTTCAAAAAAAACGCTGTATATGTTTATATATGTATATCTCCGGTTTTACAACACCAAATGTAGCTATTTATAGGCCAAAATTCGCCCCTCTACATGATCTAAACGTTTCTGGCTTTTAATTCACATCAAGAACACCTCTTAAATTTTCTGGCCGTTGAGTTGCGGCCGTTTTTCTTCATCGCACGTTAAAAAATTTTTCTTTTTTTTTTTTTCCTTTTTGTCAAATAAATTTATTCTTATCCGTTAAATTATATCTGGTTTACACATCTTTATCAGCTAAATAAATTATATAAGATTTATTCTTGTCAGCTAAATTGTACCCGGTATGTATGTCTTTATCAGCTAAATAGATAATTTATTCTTGTCAGCTAAATTGTATCTGATTTATAGACCGTTTATAAAATCTCACTTTTTGTAACATTTTATCTCACTGATAAAATTATTTTATTTTTATTTAAAATTTTGGAGTGTCACATTCTATCCCCCTTAAAAGATGTTTCGTCCCGAAACATTAGCTAAGCCAATTAACCGAATTCTTAAGTATTACATTCTACCCCCCTTAAAGAGGGTTACGTCCCCGTAACCGAAATATTACCTTAGTCAAAAAGTTCAGGGTAGCGTTTGCGCATATCGTCTTCAGTCTCCCAAGTGGCGTTTTCGGCCAAGTGGTTAGACCCCCTGGGAAGTTTCTCAGGGCGCGCACGAGTGAGGACAAAGTGCGCGGTAAAGGCTCGTGGTGGTTTGTGAGGACAGTACTATTGGTCTGGAGTAACTACCTCGGGTCCGATGGGGCCGGGGTGTTACAAATGGTATCAGAGCAACCCTGCGACAGTGTGCTGATCCGTTGGATATCGGGCAGACACCTAGCAGGGGAAAAGTTTCTGGGATATGATTGAGATTGGTTTAAGGGCGCAACGAGGACGTTGCGATCCTAAGTGGGGGTGATTGTAACACTGAGATTTAATATAAATGTATTAATAGTACTACTCATACCAACAAGATGCATCTCCTTTTAAGGGAGCTCATCCCCAAGAACTCCAAAGTTAAGCGTGCTTGCACGGGAGTAGTCTTGGGATGGGTGACCCCCTGGGAAGTTTCTCAGGGCGCGCACGAGTGAGGACAAAGTGCGCGGTAAAGGCTTGTGGTGGTTTGTGAAGACAGTACTATTGGTCCGAAGTAACTATCTCGGGTCCTGCGGGGCCGGGGTGTTACAGTATAAGACAGACATATTGACTTACTTCAAGAATAACGGGTGATATGATCTGCTTAGAAGGTGTAGTAACATAACAGTCGGTGGCATGGTTTGCATCAGCCATTTCTCCAGATGGTTCACTCACAACATCAGCTAGCTACATTAAATCAACAAAGTGCATGAGTGCTCAAATGTTTTAAAATAGAGAATTCAATTTTGTATGACATACATATTAACTTACTTCAATAAGGATGGGTGAGATGATATGATTGGAAGTTGTAGTAACATCAGTCACAGCTGGTTCACCTACTGCTGCAGCAACCTACATGAAATCCACCACGAAAATAAATTCAGTTTTAAAAGGTCTGTAGACAGACATCTTATATTGGATGGACAGACAGATTGACTTACTTCTTGAACGAGTGTTGGCTCGTTTTCAACGTCTTGTTCAACTTGGTCTTTATCTTCAACCTCATCATCATCAACTTCCATTTCCATTACCTTATTCTTAGAACCAATCTGCACAAGCATTGTATTAACACACCACTCCCAATGAAAGAATCAGACAGAATTTTATGGCATCAAATATTATTTACCTCAGTCGCCTTCTCTGGCACGGCACCCTGTGCACTGAATCTCTCTTCCATCAACTTCAACCTGCTTTCCAGAGCAGTCACATGCTCCCGGAGTGCTTGCATCTCATCCATGACTTTGGCTTTGAAACCCTTGTCCCGAACTTCTTCATCCTCGTTCTCGTTCTCAGATTCATCTTCCTCCTATACAGGAATCTTAAAGACTAAAATACGATGTTATTTGAATGCAAAAATCAACAAAATAAGATATAATACATCATCATTGTCCTTGAAAACCAATTCATTCAACTTGCGTGCATGAAAGAATCCATCGGCCTTCCAGTTCAGCATAGGAATTTCTTCATTACCAATACGTTCAGCACATTGTTCTCCTAGGTTAGGCACGTTTTCATACGCCCAAACCTAAAAAAATTTATAAAATTAATATGTCTGTCTGCCAAAAGTTTACAGATAGAAATGTCTGTCTCAACATAGAAATGTCTGTCTCAACATTAAACTACAAAGAATGAGAAAAATACCTGTAGAATAAAAGGACATCCATATAGAGTGAACTTAGCAGTTGTGGCCTTGCTTTGCCTGAACCTGGTGGGCTGCTCTTTCATGATACTTTTGAAGTGGTCAATCATGGTGTTATAGGACTCCCTACCCCATGGATACATCTTAAACTTCTCGAACTCGTCCGCCCACTTCAAATACACCAAATTTATCTTGGTTTTGTTATCCCGAGCAAGTAAAACCGTCAAAATGTAACACACGGACAGTAGCTTCACAGGATCTCCACTCTTTGTACGCCTAAATGACTTCAACTTGTCCTTCAACATTTTGTACGTAATGTTCGTGGATCCACGAAAGTACTTCTCAATTAGCGACCCATGCACTTCATCATCATCATTGAAGACAGGAATTTCCGCTGATGATTTGAGACCGGATATGCGACAGAAATCAGCATACGTAAACTTCAACAGCCTCCCTTGAATCAAGAACCACAGCTCGTCTGCAGGTTGGTCCTTCACTAGCCTCAGCAGCAGAGAATGGATGATTTGGCCTGAAAATTGTATGTCTGCCACGAATAGTAGGTGGCCCCATGGCAAATTCCTAAATTCTTCCAATTGATTCTTTGTCAGCGCACCTTTAACCAAGCTTACAGCCTCTATGAAATATGAGCAGACAGATAACTGGGCTGGAAAGTGCTTGCGAACTGGAATTTGTACTTCGAATGACCTGTATTATTCACACAAATACAAATCAAACATTTGAGACAACTCAGAAGGAAGGACAAAGATTTTATATCACTTGACAGACAAGTGTCTTCACATGACAGACAACTACACAACAATATAAGCAATTTCATATCACATGCACAACAAGTCTATGTCAAAATGAGGAGCCAGACAATTTTTATTGTTTGCCAGACAACTATGTCTATCCTTAGTAAGAAGGTTATATGGTTGAACATATTAATGTATAAATTTGTGTTGAATATTTTGTAGGAAGGTTATATGGTTGAACAAATTAATGTTTAAATTTGTTACACACTTGGAGTTCATACTTTAAACTAGAAAGCTTATAAACCAACTTTCATATTTCAGAAAGTTGAAAGCAAAGCAAAGAGTATGCTTTGACAGTTTGACATATTACTTAGTTTATAGACCATTCATAACTCAAAAATAACATTCAAAGCTCATAGATTATAAAGCATTCTTAGCTTACAAAATTTACATTTAAAACATCTCATTAAGCAAACTTGCCAGACATCTGAAATGCTGCATTGGTTATATCCCAAATCACAAACTACAACTACATAGAATACTACAATAGTACAATGTAACTAAATAACACTGCCTACTACACAAGGTACTACATATTAAGTAAAACAATTACAAATACTAAACACAATAATTTTCCAGACAACTATGTTCTCCTAACAGACAACTACACAATAATTGTAATGGTTTGCAAGACAACTATGTTCACATGATAAAAAACTACAAATGGCTTGCCAGACAATCCATTTCCATTGACAGACATCTCATACGCCTGGCCAGACCACTATAATGACATCACAAACAACTTTCAAGAATTCAAAATGAAGTGACACACACAACCAAACAACCATGCACAGACAAGTTCAAAGTGGTCAGACAAACACAATGACAAACAACACCAAAATTACACACCAAGATAATATCAATCCAAAAAAATTGAAAAAATTGCATACCTTTCAGCCATATGTGTTAAGCTTGGATGAACTTGGACCTTAAAACCTTCAGGAGGGCAGTTCGTTCAACAGTGAACAGTTCAGGAGGTTTCCAGTTGACTGCGATGAGGTTTCCAGTTCACGGCAGTGGACGGCGGTGGATGGGTCCTCGCGCTTGACGGCGGTCGTGGCGGACGATTAGTTGGGTTGAGGACGGCGGTTGTGGCAGAGGACTTGGGAGTTGACGGTGGGGAGGCTTGAGGTCGGTGACGGTGGGGAGGGGAGGTTTTGGAAACTGTCTGGGGAAGGGAAAAAGTGGGGGGCGGGAGATTTGGTGAGGAGAAGGGAAGAAGGTGGGGGGCCGCACGTGAGGGAATGGAGAGGGGGGGGGGGGTAAATTTTTAGATTGGTTTTTATATGGAGTATAAAATGGGGTATACATGGGGTACCCATAGCATTTTTGCTGAAATAATGCAAACAAAAGTGCAAGTGGGCTGATGAAGGGGGTGTGGACATGTGTTTGGATTCTCCCAATCCTTTTACATGAGGCAAACAAGTCATATTAGGATCAATGTCATGATTTTTTTTTTTATTATTTAAAGAATACTATTATATTTTTGCGGGGGACTCAATATTTTTTTACTTTGTCGTTCTAAAAATAATAAAGCATGTTTGATTAGGAAAATTGTTCTCAATTGATTATTAGTATGATTGGGTAGCGGGGAAAGTTTAGAAACTGTTCTCTTCGCCTGATCTGAATGTTTCTGATCTGATCTGATTTGAATATTTCTATAATTATAATTATAATTACAAATATAATTTAAATAAAATTATTATTATAATCCTAACTATAATAATAATAATAATAATTAAAATTAAATTTAAAACGAAAAAAGTTATACCTATTACACTAATTACAAATATAGATACAATTATAAATTGTAATTATATTTTTAATTATATTTACTTATATAATTATAATTGTAATTATAATTACAATATTTATCTCTGTAATTCTAACTATAGTTATCAATATTATTATAATTACTCCGTAAAATA